GTACCAGACACACTGCTTCTGAGTTTGGGAGGATCAAAATAGCGTAAGCTCTCCACACTAGCCACCCCTTAAAGTGAGACTGTCAGCCACATTGGAGCTAAGTACAGGTACCACTATGAGCCACTCGGCACTCATTGCTTCTACTCAGGGAAAGATGCCCTGAGCCAGAGAACATTCTATCTACCTTATCCTGATTCTTACACATTAGGAGTCTCATGCTCTCTCATGGCAAATCAAGTATTCTCTAGTAATTCTGGACTCCACAGGGCAGGAGCACTGGCGGACCCCATTTTCCTTTCAATTTCATTTCAAAACAGAAGATTCATTCCAGTATGCATCTCGTTTTCATCATGCTGTTTTTCAGTTTATAAGCTTATGGTGGCTTCCTATTTCCGAGTTGCTAATACCCTGCCTGTCTTTCAATGCTTCTGCTTTATTTCCACTACTGCCCAACACACCCTGGCCTGGCTGATGAAAATTCTGCCTGAAAGCCTACACTCTTTCCACCAAAATTTTTGGTTTCCCGCCTTGAGGGTATCTTTTTTCTCTTGAGTCACTGTGGGCTCAGGAAAGGCTAAATGACTTTCGCTATCCAACTAAGCAAAATATTGACAGCAATGTAAATCTGTTCGAAAATGAGCTGTTTACATGTTTCACTTTAACAGGTTAGGACTCAAAGTCCTTGAAGGAGGATCTAGCACAGACCTTGGCCAGAGGAGACTCTCGAATATTTGTCAAATTAATTAATTACCAAACCAAATGGAATATTTAGGTTAGTCCCAATATTTTTCCCTCCATTAATCTAAGGAATTAGTCACTGCAGCTTCAAGAGGTCCCTATAAATACAGAAAAAATGCTGCATAAGGAAATAAACCTTCTAAATTCCAGAGCACAATCTCACATCACTGTTCTGTAAGATAATGCACTGTAAACAGATACCACAGCAACCAGCTGCAGAGCCGGGGTGAGCCTCCTCCCCAGGCACAAGAGCACCCATAAGACCATCCTATTAACAGAAGCTTTGACAAGGAGCCCAGAAAAGAAGTTCCAAAGTTGGGCACCTAACAAAAACATCAAATAACCCTTCAATTTTTACAAACATTAAGAAAAATATTAAGAACGAAAATCCCTGTTTTTGAAAACTTCCTTTGACCATATTGATATGATATTAATACATACATAATAGAGACGCATGAAGTTAGATTCTTGCTGTCTGTAGATGCTATTTTGGGAAATGTGATCTGAAATTCACATTCTGGTAAAAGTGAGCCAGGTTAACAACAGCTTCTATTGAATGGAACATACTTTCACAACTCTATTTTATATATACATATATATGTATGTATGCGTATGTGTATGTGTGTGTATGTATACGCACACAAGATATTTCTCTTTGTTTTCCTTAACGATGGTTCATTTTTTAAAACTGCAAAGCTGGATGTTACAGCCGGTGTTTTAGGCTTAAATCTTAGTTTTGTCTTTCTTTACAATCCATTTCCTAGGGCCAATTTTTTTTTTTAAGTATTCAGAAACATGAGCTACTGTAACTGCATGTTCAAATACCCATGTGGAAACAGTCCCCTCGACTTATACATTCATTCTTAAAAGGCTGGAGTATGCAAACAAAGATGCGGTGGGCAGAGGGCCAGTTAATAAATCTCGTTTCCGACTAGCATCGGCATGAAACAGAGCTATGGGGAGTATCCTCTCCAGGGAGATCCAGGGCACAACTCATCTGCTGTGTGAATTAAACAGTATCACCTTAGATGGCTCACACCACATTTATTTTTTAAGCAGCTCTTAAAATATATGGATTTCTAGTGCTCATCCACGCAGTGAGGAAGCTGAGGCTGAGAGGATAATCACAGAGTAGTGGACATGAGCTGTGGAAACATGTCCCCATGGCTCTGCTGAGTCATTTTTGTACTTGCTTTTTTCAATTAAAATTACCAACCCAGGGATAATTTTCTAAAGGACATTTGCTTTTCTAATCAAAGTGCATACTAGTTTCAATGATGAGTTACCACCCGTTCTACTCTGGGCGTTGAAAATCAGCTCTGTTTACCTACCAGATACCTGGGTTAAGATATCTGGGTCAGGACCCACATTTGAATTATTTACAAACCTGGTACAAATGCTATAATAATAATGTCCTGTCCAAAGAGTGACTGCTCACCCATTAACAGTGCTCAGGAGCACTGTGCTATGCTCTAGGTATACTGTTCTCCTCTCACCTGTGCTGCCAGCAAAGGGAGGTGTGTTCCTGTCCAAGAGCTCCTGAAAGAGTACCTTTTCAGTAGTAACAGCATTCTCCCCATATTTACATAACCCTTTTAAGAAATTATTTGTTTTAAATGTTAAAAAGTTAGCTTGACAATCTCTCTATTAAGAATGGGGCTAGAAATTTTTATATGTACCAAGCAAAAGCAGAAAACAAAGCCTAAGATAAACGACTTACTGGGGGCCTACCTAGGAGTCAGTAAAGCAACCAGGAAAAGAATTCCCTCTGATCTCACCAGGGCACTGTGCTTACCCAGACCCCCTCTTATGGGACTTCACAGAGAACTTCCAAGCACACATCATTGTTGAGAGCTATACCAAACCTATAGCCAAAGTAAAACTTTTATATGCTTAAATCTCTACTCTGGCTTTTAAATTGCCTTCCAAGTTTCCTCAGCAATTAAATGGCTATATCGTTCCAGTCTTGGGATGCCAAAATAATGATGGAATGCTTCCTGGAGAGAAAAATGTGTCACATTTTTCCTTTTCCAACGCCCCTCCAAGAAAATAAGTGGTGGTTATATTACACTGGTCATCCACTTTGGAAGAAAAGCAGACCAAGGAAAACATCAAGTGTGTCTCTCTCCATATGCACCCTTTGTATAATACAATACAAATGCAATTTTGGAGGCTTCCTTCTTCGTTTAGCCTATGACATCTCTCACTATAGCATTCAGTAATCCTATTATATCAAATACAAATGCAATGATGCTCTTAGTGACTTAAGAATTTGTTCAGTCAGATGTTTATTAAAATTCAGTTTGTTTTTACATAATTTCAGGTACCACGATAGGGACTCAGAAAGCCAACCGGAAATAATTCAGGAAATGGATATAATAACTGGGATTAAATTAAAGATGTAAATAAAATTTCATTTAAAAGCAATTAATTCGTCACCAAAAGGTAACATTTAACCTTTCTGTCACATGATTTTCCATTGCCATTTCAACTTAGTTCATATGACTAATAAAACCCAACTAGGCAACTTCCTTTGGCCAACGTGGTAACATTTGAACTCCATCTTAAAAGCAACTGCTACCTACATAGTAGGGATTAAATCATTTAGGAAATGAGGGCTTCAAATTTATTACCCATAAGAACAGTTCAAGTAAGTAAGATTTAAAAGCAACTCAAGTTTTTTTGTTTTGTTTTTAAACTCTATTTTTAGGCTTTGGGATGTTCACAGAGGAGAAAAGTAAAGAAGAAAAGGAGCCCAACTTTCCCATCACAGGGGCTCCAAAAGAAGAGTCCCACAAGTTGTGAACCCATTTTGGTTTCCATTAAAAGAATAACAAGCACTTGAAAGCTGTAAGGATGCAATGTCAACACATTAGTTGGAACCATAAGGCATGAGATTTTGGTGACTTCATGGGCACAGCCAAAATTAACTCCAAGTATTTATATAACTGCCAGAGACCATAGGGCAAAGTTTGCTTATGATTTTTTTTTTTTTTTTGCATCAACAAACAGTACATTTCTTTGGTCAAAGAGAAAGGAAGTTAGGTACTTTTGGTCTTATTTTATGATATGCAACATTTATATACACAGAATATTCTACCCATAATACGATCTGAATGTTTAGATGAAGGCTTTAAAAAAAAAAAAAAGAGCTATTTCCTGTTGCTCGCTAGCTGAAAGGATGCGCCTTAGAGGTATGTGTGCTCTGCCTCAAAGCAAAAGCATTGTTACTGGTTATCAAGGTAACATTTAAAAATAACTACCCCAGTACAAAAGAACTTCAGAGGAAATATGACTGAAGCTATCAGTCTCCCTTTGAGTCTGGCCTTAAGCTGCATAAGACTCTAGCTGCATTCTCCATTACATTGTTATCCTTATCAAACAATGCAAACAATTTTAATGAGCTTATCTACTAGAACATATTGCCAGATATGTTAATGTAAAAATGATGCCAACCGTACAGGCCAACTCATTAATCAAAAGGCTCACAGTACAATGACCAAGATCAGTCCCATCCTCAAATCAGCCCTCAGCAAAACACCAGGAATTACCTTCCTACTGTAAATAAGAAGGAAGGGCTCCCCCACCCATGCGGTGGCCATAAACTCCAAAGAAAATGCATAACAGCGCTCAGTTTTTTTTTCAGGTCCTTTGCAGTCCAGTCTCTTTCTAATAAACCTAGGGTTCTATGGAGAAAATTTTGGTGAATGTCTGACACTGTGACCTCTGCTGTCAATCCTTGCACCAATCAGCGAGCAGAATTCTTACAAAGCTCCATCAATCTGGCGGTTTAACATCACAGACTGCAGCTTAATCTAGAGGATTCCATCTTTCCTGCACACTCTCCAGGTTAAGCGCAAACGTTTTTCTCTCCATCCTCCCGTTTTCTGCCTTTAAGCACAGCTACCTCATGGCTCCTTTAAAATCTAAAAGGGAAGGAGGAAAGGAAGTGCTACAGCCTGTCTCTTTGGACAGAGAGAAAAAATAGCATGCATTTTTATCAATGTGGAAGGAAAGAGATGAAGGGAGATCCCTCGCAGGCAGCAAACCTATTCACAAAATGCTTTCCATCTGCAATCGTGAAGCCTCAATGCATACCCAACATGACACATGGAATCGGATATCAAATAATCATAACCACCTTCACAAACGCACGCCTGCAGCCGGGGTCGCAGGCGGTGTCTGCTCCATTATATAACGGGCCGGATTTCCGCGCGCCCCCACGGCGGTCCCGGCGCTGCTCCGGGTGCCAGCCCCATTACCTGTAGGAACGCTCTCCGCGCACTGTGTGCTTCCGGAAAGGAATGATGGTCCCGTTATTATCCTGGATGATGTCGTTGTTGTTCTCGCCATTTGGGGACAGGGTTTGGGTCGGCCCAGGCATTGGCGCACTCCCGAGAAAAGGAACAAACCGCTGTGGGCAGGCTGATGAGGAAGGTGGCTGCGTCTTCCCGCTCGCTCGCCTGCTCCGCGCACAGACCGAGCCCGCCGCCTGCTCGCTCGCTTCTCCCTGCTCCCGCTCCGCCCCGCCCTCCTGCGTCCCCGCCCTCCGGCCGCCGACGTCAGAGCGCCGGCAGCAGCACCCTGGTCACGTGGCCTGCCCGTCACCATGGCAACCCGCTAACTCATCACCTCGCCTCAATTCGCACAGGGCCGCGGGGGTGACCACGCCAGCAGCTCCAGGCAGGCACCAGGGCAGGCCTACATCTGGCATGTAAAACCCCAGGCCACCCCGCAGCCCCCCTCGCAGACTCGCCTTGTCTGAAAACTAGCTCTTCCTCTAACCATTTCCTTTCCGACCCGTGCTCTAACTGCAGCTGTGTACACAAAAGAACGATTCATGCAAAGGGGTGTGGGAGACCCTTTAACTCCTTCAATACCAAGTTCTGATGCCATGAAAATTAAACTTGGTCAGGTTTCAGAAAAATCTAAAAAGACCTGGTGGCCAGCTTCTAGAAAAGGTATCAGACTAAGGGGTTAATATTTCTGGCTTCCTCCCCTATTTTCCAAATAGCGGCAAACTCCCCCCTCAAATAAGCCCAAAACCTTAAAACCTAAAAGGAAGCTGTACTTCCTTCTAATTAATGTAGCCTTTAATAATGTGAGGATTAAAGATTGCAAATTATGATATTTTCTATGCAAAAGAATCTTCAAAGACAATTTTTTTAAAAAAAGGTAACCACCATTTTAGAACATCAGTAACCCAAGACCTCCCAATTCAAATTCTTTATACTGCTTCCTGTTACAGATCACTGATTCCTTGCCATTTATTCTATTTCTATTTCAATTAAACAAGTGATCGCTTCATTTAGTATTTTGGAAGCTCTCATTCAATCTGTTCTATATCCTTGCAATGCAGTTTTCAAATACATTGGCTATGAGACAGGTACTATCATTATCCCCATTTTAAAGATAAGTAAAACTAGTAAGATTAAGTAAATTGCTTAAGGTCACAAAGCTAGGAAGTGGTAAACTGGAACTTCAAAGTAACATGCATTTATCTACATGACTGGACAGTAGTGATCTGTGTATAATGTGAGCTCAATAAATATTATAAATCAAGGTAAAAGTCAAATACTTCAGGTACACTCCCAACATAACCAGTGTGAAAAGATAGCTGTGAACAGAATTGCTAGTATAGTGCAAAGTCTATGAGTTAGATTATAAACTCTGAACAGACCCCACATACATCCAGAGGAGAGTTTGAAGGACTCTGCTTATTCGCAGTGACCTCTGACCTTTTGTGAGGTGAGAAGGAAGAACTGGGTTGTAGAAGACACAGCATAAATATACGTGACAGAAAGTACTAGCTATGGCTCACTCCTTCACATCACTGTATGGTTTATTAGCTTTATCATTTTGTGATATAGGTATTAAAAACAAGTAAATACTTTGTCATTCCTGACAATTCTCCAGCATATGTCCCTGGTAATAAGTTATTTCTGGTATCAAGCTTCTGGAATTAGAATCGAATGTTTTACAGCCCAGATGGTAAAGACAATCTCAAACTAGGAGGCCCCCTTTTTTTTCTTCCTATTTTATACGTTCCTTTTGGGCTAATATTTTAATAATTGTATTTTCTCTTTCTCCAGCTAGTTCACAGTGCTCAAATTGATTCCTTCTCCACATCTCGGTTTACATGAGAATTTTTTTCTCATACAATCAGGATCCAATCCTGATCTAAGAACTTACAAGGTACACAGATAAATATCTAAGTACCAGATACCAAGCCTCACGTTGTACAATGAGCTAAGGGGGCATGAAAGTATAGTCATCCCTACAAAGACCCATGCTTCCTCTTACTATTTTGGTCACTTGACCCACTGTTGTCAATTTCCTTACTAATTTTTTCCCTTTCACAAAGCTTCCCCTTTCTTGGGGGACAGTCTGAAGTTGAAAGACACAGTCTACAAATCAAATATTTAATGTTTTCACAGTATGCCCTCTCAATCTGGGTTCTTTGGTACAGCTTACTTTTCCATGATCCCATATTTAAGTAATACGTTAGACATAATTGGTGTTATGGGTACTAAATTTGTCAGAATTTGAATGTATAGTGCATTGATTATATCAACTGATTTTGTGGCTAGAATACTCCCACTTTGTTTCTAGGCTGCTCATGACGGAGGGGACGACGGCCAAGAATTTGGGTTGATGGGCTAAAAAGGGAGGGGTTGCGAGTCAGGTGAAGGAGGTATCTAAGAGCCCTGTAAATCTTCCTCTACGACTGCTCTGAGCCACACTACTATAAAGGGACCCAGAGAGCTCCAGAGACCAGTTATTACCCTCTGAGATGCAGGGGTAACAGGGGTAATAATTTGAAAATATTAAACAGATGTGTTTTCATTCCTCTCTCCATAAATCAGGTTACCTGGCAGCCATTCTCCAGTTTAGCCCTAGGGAAAAGGGAAGGGCAAATTCCACTTTGAGAAGGAGGATAATGTGATATAGGGAAAGTGCAGAAAATGCAAGAAGAGCCCACTCTTTTCCGCCCCAGCTGAGTGGAGAAAGGGGATGAGGGTAGGACAAGGCGGGGAGTCTCCCATGCCCAGCTTTCCAGGTTCAAGTCCCAGAGGGGAGACGTGGATAGGCTGAGAACAAAGCCTGAGGGACTTTCTTTTGCTTCATTTCCATTTGAGACTCTAGGAAACAGCCGCCTTAAAGAGTTGGGTCTCCCCAGACAAAGTGCAGCCACATCACAGTATAGACTAAAACCAGTGGCCTGGTATGATTAGGAAAAAGGTAGCCTTAAATTTCACTCTCAGCATCTCCTTTTGCTGGCATGCAATATGGAAGGTATGTAGAAATTTCCCTATAAGGGCATAGCAGGAGGTCAAGTGGATGTTGCTGTCAGAGAACTAAGTTTATGGTGGTGGTGGTAGGAATGTAATGAAGGGATGTCTTCACAACAGAGGCAAAGGGATGTTTACCTGGGTCCATGGGGTGGCACATTTAAAGCAGAGCCCAAATAGGAGAAATAGCCAGCTCCAAGGAAGCTACACAGAGCCAGAGTCAAGCCTGTAGAGAGAGAGTGCAGCTAAAGGGTTCAGCACAGGCCACCAGCAGAATGCTCACAGATGGGCTCAGACCAGCTACTCCTCAGCAGACTCAGATATTACAAACCCAAGGACCAGCATGAGACCTCTAGGGAGGCCCCTACTCTCTCCAGCTTTTGTTTCTATAAGTTTCACTCACCTATTCCTCCAGACACAATCTTGCAGAGGGGCTAGGGAAATGAAGGGCCTCTCAAAGACTGAATATTCACCCAACAGATGGTCTAAACTGTGAGTGAGCAAGGTAAAAATAATCGGGAATTATAACAAAATTACAACGTAAGTGCTATAATAATGGTACCACGTAGGGTGGTATGGGACCTTAGAAGATGAGTACTGAACTCAGAATGGAAACTGGGAAGTAGGTCTGAAAAGTATACCTAAAGTCTTGAGTGACTAATATTTTTGTTCACTTTTTATGCACCGAACCGAATATGAGGTCCCTTAGGGCAGAGGCTTCAACAGTTTTGTTCACTGCTATATCTGCAGTTCCTAGAACAGGGCTGGGCAGGTATTAGGCACTCAATGAATGTATAATTCATTCATTTATTCATATATCTGATTTGATTCTCAGAATAACCCTAATGAGAAAACTGAGGCTCAAAGAGAAGAAACAACTTGTCTAGGATTGGATATCAGGTTTTTCTCTTCACCCGAAAGATCGCATGCTTATCCATTAGGCTATATTGCCATTTAAAAGAGGAATGGCAGCGTAGAGGGAAAATAAAGGGCTTTTCAAGGAGATATTCATGGGTACAGAGGTAGGAAAGGGTAAACGTCTCTGGGAAACAGCAGATTGTTCGGTATGGACAGAGAACAGAGTGCACAGTGGCAGGAGATGGGGCAAGGACCAAGGTGCAGAATGGTCTTATGGCCAAGCTAAGGAGCTTAACTTTAATTCTGAGGGTGATCTGGAACCATGAAGTGCTGTAGGGAGAGAAATTAATGGTGAAATTTGCATATCAAGGAGGTCTAACGCTGACGATAGTATGGAGGATATATTGAAGATCAAAATGAGTAAAAAAGTGGTGAAGACCTCAACTAAAACAGAGACCAAGGGGTTGCAGAATTTGAGATTTCAGAAGGTATAGCTCTTAGAGTTTGATGACTGAGTGTGGACACAATCGTTGGTGGGAGTTAGGGTGGGTAGTGAAGGAGAAAGAGACATCTCAATTGAATCCCAAGTTTATGGCTCAGGTGACCAAATGGATAATGGTAGCATTTATCAAGCTAGGGAATACAGATTAAATTGTTCTTTTAGAAGAAAGTTTCTCATATGTGTTTTAGACACAGAGAAGTACCTATAGGACATCCTAGTAGTCAACGTGCTTCACACATAGTGAGTGTTCATTAAGTATTTGCTGAATAAGGGAATATATAGGTATTGATCTTATGAGATATCTTTGACTCGGAGATAACACGTCATGGGGAGGAAATTATCTCGTAGGTGATCATTGCAGCTGTAGGTGCTCTCATTCAGGGAGAAAGAGACGAAACCCTTTAAAGGCTGAGTGATAGAAGACTGTGAAGGATTTTGCTTAGTGGAGCAAATCATAGGCAGGAGTAATTTCAGTGGGCCCAGGGAAGAAGCAGTTTTAACAGGGGAAAGGAAGAGGTCTCAAGGGTCAAATGTCCCAGAAAGATTGAATCAGATATAGGCAGAGAAGTGTTTACTTGATTTGATAAGGTGTTCTCAAAGATATCTTTAAGAGGCTAGATTACGGGTCATACCCATCAATGACTACTGAAGAAAATAAAGAAATCTTTCAACAAGTAGGAAAAGCTGCAATCCTTTGTAAAAGCAGGAATTTTGTGAGTGATATTGAAGGAAGGAGGCCATACTAAATCAAGCATCGTATATATTATCAGTGACTAATGGGAATCAACAATTATTTGCACTAAAAAGCTCCCAGGATTATTGGAAGAAAATGTTAATCAATAAG